TTTTTGTTTTACAGTACAGATCGGTTATTATTATATTAATATGTATGCTAAAAAGCTAAAATAATGGAAAATGGCAGCCATTTTAAATTGTAATAGCTCAAAAATGTGTTCAATATTTAGTTAACTGTTGTTGTCATTGTTATGAGTGAATTTCCAATTGAATACAGCATTTTAATGACATAACCTTACAGTATTAGTGACAATTTTAGGAAAAAATGGTGGCCATTTTGAAACTGCCGACAACCCCCCTTACGTATAAAAAAAAAAAATGTTGCACATACTTTTTTGATTTATCAATGTCTACTCTACATCATATTCAATTTTTAAAAAATATAGCAAAAAAAAAAATGCAACCTCTGATATTGCTACATTTCGGACTGGACTTATTAGGGTGATAGTACTTTTTCCTAGGAAAAAAAATTAACTATCGCTGCCAGATTCTAGGTATGCAGTATATAATTCAAAATATATTCTTTTTTACCCCTCCCATCATCCATTCCCCCACCATTCTTGCGCATGTGTTTAACACTTATGAAATTGACAACCCTTAGACAAATCTAAAATGGTTTGTTTTCTTAAATTACTACAAGATTTGTAGTACTTACCTGCTATAGAAAGGAAGAACAATGTTAATGTTGTAATTAACCCCATCACTCCTGAATTTGAATCAAACTCTTCCTTGAATCTGACAAGAAACACTCCTAGAACCTTTGCTGGCCCGACACTCAGAAGAAGACCGACATGAGCACCAAACAATACAAAAAACTTCCAATGTTTTGGAGGGCTCCTCGATGGCTGCTTTGCCTTGGTTTTCATCTTGTTATTTCACAAGTTCTTAATGTTCCCGAGTTGAACAAATTTGGTTGAGTATTGAGGTTAAATTCTATATGAAAGAGAAGCTTACCGGTAAATTAAAAGTTTATGACTCAATTTTATCACTCTCAATATAACTTTTATTCAATTTTATTAGCCAGTAATGCTATCAAGGGCAAATATCCACATCAAAAATAATTATTTACAGTTGGTTATATATACAATAAATACAAAACAAGATAATGATGCAATTATCAAATAAGAGGATTTTTAAATTAATGGATCAATTCTATTGTTTTTAAAAATAAAATAAAGTATGGCTTGCTTAATATCAGTTGTTGTGGCGGAGAATGAATGGGTCAATGTTTACAGAATAAATAACTTAGGGATAGTGAATAAGGACAGAGGTGGCGCCAGCATTTCCCCCGTCGGACAGGCCTGGACCCCCTTGTTGTCCGACGAACGCCTAGGCCGTCGGACAAAAAATAAAAATTTCCCTATTCGTAACACTATTTTGATTGCTAATCCCGAATATTGTGTTTTAAAAGCACATTTAGGACCAAATTATGCCATAAAAACTCTCCAAATGAACCCTAACAGTAATAGGAATTTTTTTATTCCGGGCCGTTGACCGAGGCTTCGTCATCACCTACGGCCGGAGCCCTCCGTCGGACATGTCAGACTCCTTGTTAGCAGATTTCTGGTGCCACCGCTGAATAAGGAAGGGGGAGTTTTTAAATTGAGATGATTTTGCAGTGAATCGGAAATGGGATGACTGACGGTTTAGCTTAATTTTGGAGTGAAGTTGAATAGCTTGGTGTTTAAAATGCTCGCCTTTATAATCCCAGGGTCCTCGGTTCAAATCCTGTCAGATCACAGGAATTTTTTTCTAATGACAAGACTATTATTTTCAGTAACAACATAATTTTTATAATGAGTATATCTGACTGATCATAGGACTGTCCGATGAAGTCCTCAAATTGATTCTGATGGTACAATCAAATTGTAATCTGAACATGCGTTAAATCAAATGAGCTTCTGTTGTGGCATAAACCTGGTTAACACATTTGACACTGGTACCAAACCTTTGTTACAATCTACTGTATGACCAAAAAATACATGTTGAGACACCACAATTTCTATTCCAACAATATTCTGAAACACCACAATTTCAATTCCAACTCACTCCTGACAGCATTCTCAAAAATCCTAGAGAAAGTCATTTACTTTTGCACCCTTGATTTCTTTAAGATATGTGGAATTTTCTGTGAATCCCAATTTGGATTCTGTGAAAAGCACACAACCACACATAGTTAGTGAAAAAGGTCACAACTGCACTTGGCAAGAAGCAACATACCAGGTATATTTCTGGACAATTCCAAGGCCTTCGACACAGTTAATAATAATAATAATAATAATAGTGTAGTTTTATATAGCGCCAAATCCATCTAATATAAGATGCTCAGGGCGCTTAATATGTGGACTAGAAACTCGATCAATGACTTTCTTCACCCCTAAGGGCTCCTTTGTGTCTGTGCTACCCGGTAACCCGGTACCAGCAACTCTTGTTGTCCACTACAGGGGCTGTCTGTTCCAGTACACTGGGGTATCCCCCTCCCACTCATCTCGAAGGATGTACTGGGTTCTTAATAGTGCACACGAGCCATTGTATACAGTGGGTTTACGGTTTATAGTCCTTATCCGAGAAGACTTGTCCTAACACCAGAACCATACACGAGCGTGCCGTTTGAACAAGCGCTGATATTATGGCTGAAGCTTTCCCCCTGCTAACCACTCAGCCATTCAACTTGCCGATCATAGTATTCTTCTGTATTCAAATTTATGGCATCACAGGAAAGACCTTGGAGTGGTACAGAAGTTACCTCATACTGATAGAGTGCAGTTTGTGTCTTTGGAGGGCTTTGAATCCAGCTGAGAGGTTGTAGCATTTGGTGTCCCGCAAGGGTCCCTCCTGGGTCCATTACTTTTTATTGCTTTTAATAATGATTTTGTTAGATGTTCAAACATACTTTCTTTTATTCTGTTTGCCGACGATTCTAAAATTGTTGTTTCTAAGAATGCAATGATCTAATTGATATTGTCAACAATTAACTTAAAAATGGAATGGAATCGATGCATGCAAAGTGCCTCTCCCTTAATTCTTTAAAAACGGACTTTATATTTTTAGCAACATAATTACAGATATGCCTGCTTCCATCATTTTAAATAGAAATGAAATCACAAGAGTAAAATCCATTAAATTCTTAGGTCTCCACATGTGTGATTGGCTTGGAATGTACACATTCAACATACATGTAAAACTGTCACTAGAAATGTTGGAGCACTGCATAAGCTTAAAGAGCTTATTCCCACATTAGCTTTGAAACTTATTTATATGTCGCTGGTTCAGTCATACCTAAACTATGGTATCCTTGCTTGGGGAAACGTATGCAAGGAACAAATCAATAAAATTCTTGTGATACAGAAGAGGGCAGTCAGAACAATGTCCTTTGCCAAATAGTTTGCATATACTCTACCACTTTTCTTTTCAGCACAATATTCTCGAGATTAAGGATTTAAATGACTATATAACATCGGGATTTTTATGATTCAAATTAAGTCAGGCTGGATACCGTCAGCTTTATCTAAACATTTTGTTCTCAATTCTCATTCATCCCAACTCCACTCGTCAGTCACCATCATTTAATATAACTTACTGCAGACTCAAAAAATATCGTCCAACCTCAGGTACTTCAAAATTCAGCTTAAAAAGATTATCACCAAATATCAATCACAGTAACAAGTTGCCTTTATTATTTTAGTAGATCCAGGACCACAAACACAGGGTCTGCCTCCTTGGTTTCCCCACACTTATTATATTATAAATTATATTTATAACTATGTTTGTAATAAGTGAATAATTACTTGCTATAATTACGAAAAGTGTTCATATTGGGAATTTCATTTTAATAAAAACAAAGATCTTTATTGAGTTTAGTGTCTACTGCACTCCTGTGAGGCATTAGCAAAGAATCATTATTCTGAAAGTTGTGAGATTCTCCCAAAAATTGGGAAGGCCTTCTGCACTCCCACAAGCAAGCAAGAATCTCCTAGAACATAACCATTCTCCTGCAAATTCACGATATTTGCATGTTTTTACAAGTTTTTATTATGTAAATTTATCAATTGTCTCCCACAAGTCAGTGCCTGGGTATCACCATGCACAGGAAAATATAATTAGATGTCTAAGAAAGCTCATCTTGGCTGATCTCCGGATGTGGATTTTTTCAATTTGGGACCCCCAGCATTAGAAAATGCTATGCTAAAGAATTGAAAGATCATGTTAAATGGACCATGTAATCTAATTACGGTACTTCGGATGCCAATAAGTGCTGAAAAATGACTACTGTAGAAGTAGTGTAACGTTCTGAAATTAGAGGAACCACACTTATTAATTAAAGTAAAATTTGTATATTAAATGCTCCCTTTTTAAAGTGCTGTATGTAGGCACTGCATTCACTTCTTGCAGCTCTCTTTTTCTGTGTTTGCTCGTAAGTGGAATTCCAAGCGATATAGGCAACTTTATTGTGTTACTTACAGTACCAGTATAATCGCCCACCATTAACGCAAGAGCGTCGGAAGTGGTCAGGCTGGTCTGGTTTTTCCTGGACCAATAATTTACAACGCACAAGGGCCATAAATGCACAAGGGAACAACGGCTTAAACTTCCCAAAAGTCAGCAGCCTTTTTTCTCTTTTGATGTGGGGGACATTTATCAGAATTTTCAGACTAATATTATTATTGGCTTTTAAGTCTCTCAAAAGATAATAGGGTGACAAGAAAGAAGACAGTTCCCCCAAGTCATTTCAACTTATATCATTCATACAGGAGTTTCTGCAAACATCTGGACTCACTAAAGGCGACATTTTTGCGAGTTATAATAATAACAATAATAATAATAATAATAATAATAATAATAATAATAACAGTATTATAATAATAACAGTAATAATAATACAGTAAAAAGGAATTTATTTTCGTTTTGATGCCAAATGCAAGTGGTGGGGCCGTGCAAAATTCAAATGCCGCAGTGCAAAATTAAAGTGGCGCAGTGCAAACTCAAATGCATGTGCCACGACATGACTTTTGCATTGCCGATTGTTGTTTGTCCTTTTGGCGTGATATTGCATTACGATTGTTCAAAAAAGTGTTTATTTGCTTATTCTACTATCGTTCAATTTGTTTTGTATGCTTCTGAATTTATGTAATCCTTTGTAAACCTAAGCTAGCATAGAAATCTTAGTGTGTCAAAATCGCAATTTGCAGATTGAAGACTCTTGTGAATACCTGAACAGGCCATAGACATGCAAGGGCCTAGGCCTAGCATTTCTCAATAAATCTCAATAAATGATTCATTAGGCCACTATCTTATAATAGCAAACCATTATGGCCTGTGAGGGGGAAGAGGGGCTAGAGTCCACCTAAAAAAAGAAAAAGAGAAAGAAAGAAAGAAGACAGAGGGTTACTCCGCACATACATAGAGTTATAATTATTTTGAATATTATTAAATTATAACTCCATGCTCCACAGAACAAAACAACTAATTTTTAGATTTAGTTCCACGTTCCAATCTCTATAGTCAAGCATAAAAAAAAAAAAAATCAACCCTTTCAAGGCCTATTCATCTTTACTTTAATACCTGTACCTCTTTATGGCATCATCAGCGTTCACCTCAGTCAGGAGGAGTCTGATCATTAGCCCTAGCTAGGCCTAGCTTGGCTCTCAATTTTTCAAGGGCGTTTTCTTAATGCCCCTTTCCCACATTCACGATTTTTGCTACGATGGAGCACGATTTTAAAAAGTTTTAAAATCGCGCTCTGTCGTAGTGATTCGTACTCAAAAAGTTCAAGTTTTACGTTTCATCAAGACGCTACTAGGACGCCGTCAAGATGCATTACAGCACTAAATGCGATAGTGCAATGCGATAATGCAATATGCGATGAATTATTTTTGACCACGACATTTACGACGACGTCATTGCGATTTTTCGAAATTGAAAAATCGTGCTTTCTCGTAGCAAAAACCGTGAATGTGGGAAAGGGGCATTAGAGTTTTAGGTCTAGGACCTTTTCCAGGGATCACCTAATATTTAATGAAGAAAACTAGCTTAAGCCATTCCAACCAGTGGCGGCGCCAGGGGGGCTTAAGCCCCCCCACCGGACAGGTCAAGTCCCCCGCCGGACAGGCATTTAGACCATGGAGGAAATATATTTCCTCCATGTTCAGACTATAAAACATATAAAAATAGGCCCATACACCAAGCCAACACATGTCTGTCACAGTCTGAGAGTGCAATTTTCGGCCATCTAGGCCTAGGCCTAGGGCCTATAGGTTGATATTCTTTAAAAAAAAAAATCTCATTTGGGAGGAGGAGCCTATAGGTTGATATTCTTTAAAAAAAAATCTCATTTGGGAGGGGGAACCCCCTCTCAACCCCTTCTCCCAGCTCGAGCCTACGTCGTACGAGCTCAAGAAGTCCCCCTGTCGGACAACTTAGTAGCCCCCCCAGAAAATATATCCTAGAGCCGCCACTGAATCCAACGTACCTGTAGGTAGGCTAGTCTAGGCAGGGTAGGATAGCCTCACGCCTCACTAACTAAAGGCTATGGTAGACCACAATCCACCCAGGGTTAGGGGTCCTAGGATATAATTATTGTATATCTAAATACTACCGTCATCTGGATGTTGAGTTTTCATTCAATAAAATTTAATTACTTACCAAAGCCGATGATAATCCGGGCCATCCATCGCGTTACGGTTACCACGCACAGACCCTATGCGGTTACATATCTTTATCTTTTTTTTTTTACTGACTACGGCGAAGCAAAATAATGACGTCATCGAGAGGACTTCGTGTGTGTTTCTTTCTTGGGCCCACCATGGTGATACTACTTTATTTAAAATTGTAAATTTTCTCCATGCTATTGAATTCGGATTCGTCAATGGCCCCGTTCAGCAACCTTTTTAGCATTTTGTTTCAAGACACGACCCATTCGGACCCAGGGGACATTTTTGATATAGGCCTATGTGTATGGTAGTTCCTTGATTCCATGCATTAATTAGGGCCTACTCATATACTGAACCATATTCCGTAGAGCAAAGAAACAAAATCTGTTTCTTTTGCTCTATGTTACTCCAAGTCTTTCAATAAATTACAGATCGAAACCAAAAATTAATGATTTACAGACCGTACAAAAATGTTCTACCAGAATTGAAATACATGGGTTTGAGAAAAATGTCACGTCATTTCATCTGAAACCCAAACACATTGAAATAAAAACTTTCAAGTTGTCATACCCTGGAATACAATTGAAAAGGGGCTTGGACAGTTAGATACTTGAATCCTGGAACTAAACTGACAACACGTGACAAAAGTAAAAGTAAATAGGCTATGCCACAATTTCTCTGCACGTTTGTTTACTATGTAAAGTTTTCATGACCTGAAAGAAATGCGCCCATCATTTTTTTTTTTTTTTTTTTTTTTGGGCTGCGACCCATAGTGGCACAAAGATATACTAGGCCTAGGCCATAGTATAACGTCGTGCATTAACCAATTTTGTAGACTGATGTCGACGGTGACATAAAGAACCAATTTTCTACATTTACGGTAGGCCTACTACCCAGAAATTGTTTTCATAGAAATTATTTGTCAATGAAAATAATAGAAAATAATATATTAGGTAGGACCAGACGTTACTTTGACGGAAGAAAATAACAAGTTACAATTGTTTTGAACAGACATTTACTTACAAGAAATATTGTTCCAAGTTTTCCAGCTCAAACAATCCATAAGTACAAAGACTCCGAAAGGGGGCCCAACCCATTTGAGTCCTCGATCTATAGGACACTATACCTAGAGCTTTGTTAACATACTAACAAATATCCTTGTTTCCCGTTTTTTTCAAAAAGTTTGTGAGGGAGGCACTTAATTAATATTTATTGAGTCATAGTTCGTCAAAAAATGCCAAAACATGTTCTCTGTGTAGGAGTATAAATGTGTTTTAAACAATTATTGTCATTGGTTCTCTTGCTGTTATCATAGAAGGGGGCCAGCTATTTGTGTTTTAAAATGAATTGTAAACTATAAAATGTGTCAGCAATTGAAATTTTGCATTTTCGACATAAAAAAAGTCTGTGAGTGCCACGGACATCTGAGATGCCGAAACATAAATGTTCTGACCCCAGCCTCAACCAGGGCTGACGGTTAATACAGACATTCCATTCAAATTCCTGGATCCGCCACTGATATTTATTTCGTCGTTAAAAACACGTATGAATACAATGAGAACAAAACGATTAAAAACGAGCACCATAGTTCGTCAAAAAATGCCAAAACATGTTCTCTGTGTAGGAGTATAAATGTGTTTTAAACAATTATTGTCAGTGGTTCTCTTGCTGGTATCATAGAAGAGGGCCAGCTATTTGTGTTTTAAAATGAATTGTAAACTATAAAATGTGTCAGGAATTGAAATTTTGCATTTTCGACATAAAAAAAGTCTGTGAGTGCCACGGACATCTGAGATGCCGAAACATAAATGTTCTGACCCCAGCCTCAACCAGGGCTGACGGTTAATACAGACATTCCATTCAAATTCCTGGATCCGCCACTGATATTTATTTCGTCGTTAAAAACACGTATGAATACAATGAGAACAACACGATTAAAAACGAGCACATCTAAAATCCCATTATGGAATTGGCGACTGGAGTGTTTGAAGTCTGCATCATCAGTTCAGAGAACATTTAGTTTAGTTTTATTATCAGTTAGTTTTGTTTTGCCTTTTTGAGCTCATACCGATACTGTTTGATGCAGGAGTAGTGAACGTCTTAAATACTGTATGCATTTTCGGGTACTTTTTTAACGTTTTAGGATTCTGTAAATTCATTCATAAATAAATAATAGAATAAAATGTATGTAAATGCAAGACAAAATTAAATAATAAATGGCATGATCGAAGCACTTTTCGATGGGGTCAATGATCAGTTCGGTCGGGTCAATTTTAAATAATTTTTACTACAGTAATTGTAAAAAGTAAACTCCAGATTTGGCAGCTTGCCAGCAATGAATGTTCAGATTGTGTGGCCATTTTGCCAAATTATTATTATTGTATATTGGTACACTTGTACATGCCTGTTCACTCTTAATATTCAATATTGTTTAGTTTTTTGCATTAAATAACGCAACTTGATATTTATAGGAACTTCGTTGATAACAATTGATAATAACTGTTTGATACGTTCAATAACATCATGTTCCTATTTGAGTACTGTATTATCGGTTTGATCATGAAGGAAAACAAATTCCTCCATGGTTTGATATATACATTATTTGTGTTCTCAGCAGCAAGCCTTGATTTTAATATTACTTGTAATTTACAAGCTGAATAGTGGTCTTTCGTAACCATATATACGGGCCTTTGTGATCTAATGGTATGACACTCGCCGACATTGCGAGAGATGATAGCGGGTTCGAGCCCACCAGAGACCTTTTTTTCCCATACAATTATTCTTCCGTTGATACGATTTATAACATAGGCCTATTGTTCCTATTTGAGCACTGTATTATTATCTGTTTAATTTATACATTGTATTCTCTCAGGTACTAAATAGCAAAGCCTTAATTTATGATTAACATTTGGAATCATCCTTTTGATTTACAAATTACATTCAGTCTTATACTATTGCAGAACAATAAAGGAGAAAAATGACAAGAAACAGGCTACGTTTATTTCTGAAATTTAAACTTAATAGATTTGGAGCGAGTTTTAAACACTTGCATAAGTTTTGAATATCGAATACAAACATTGCATCAAAATGTTAAGTAGGCCTATATCCTGTTTAATCAAAGATTAAGTAGGCCTACCGTGTATACTGTACTAAAATATGAATATGTAAATGTCATTCAATTGCATGAAGGTGAATATCATTTTAAATTATTTTTTCCTGTTAATGATGAAATTAAAACCAAAAATTACAATACAAGAAAGATAAACTGTATTCAAAAGCTGTCAAGATCATCATTTTTCTAAGGAATTTTGTTTACCAGGCCTTAAAGCACAGTGGGCAAAGTGCCCGCGGCCCGGCCCGACAGCGATTTTTTGCGGCCCACGAAAATGAATTAATAACTTTGTGTGCGACCAGCCAAGCAACACAGGCTAGAAAACACCTTGTTTTTTATGGCCCGACACCGACCATATGTAAAAAGTAACTTTAAAACACAGAATAAAGTGGTCTAAAAACAATGCTTGGAGGTTTTTGGAAGCACACTGGAAACATCAAACCACTTTGGCCCTCTGACTGATTTTCATGCCCACCCCTGCTTTAAAGTACGTATCGAATTAACTGTTTAGAAGCCATTAATATACAAGTACTTTTTACTATGGGGGCTTTATTTTTTGAATAAATTCCCATCACCCCACAACAAGAAACGAATCCTAACAATATACTTAGATTTTAGTAAATTTTCGTACATAAAAATTATCATTTTTTTTCCGAATATTATGTTGTAATGTGCAAGGTGATGATCATCTGGTAATCTTTGTTGTTCACCAACATTTTATATTAAATATCTGTACACATATTAATGCAATATCTAGTGTGTGTCCACTGAGTAGTTTTTATCAGAAAGGCGTTTGGCCGAGCAGCTCTGCAACCTAGAGCTATAATTGGCAGTTGTTTAAGCGGCATGTTCACCAATTGCTCTACAGGTGGAGTCTCAGTCTTCTCTAAATTGTTAGATTATCTTCAAGGCTATATAACAAATCTGTAATATTTTAAGCAATTTTTCCAATAAATCGAAACCGAATTAATCAAATAAATATACAAAAAATTAAGTGAAAAACAATAAGGTAAACCAAACAGTGGATGTTTTATTGAAACCGTTCGTCAATATTATTTTAGACAAATGCACAATAATAATGTACCCATACTGGCAGTAAAAGATCCAGGTATATTTAGAAATTAAAGGATAAATGTTTTTAGATGGGATAAATATTTATCTATGACATTAAAATTACATAATAAATCATCATTGTTAGTACATTACAACATAGCTAAAATTATGAACACAGAACATGAATATTTAATGCTGGTAATGGATTCCTAGCTTCCATATTTCTTCTTCAATTCCTCAACTTTTTGTATATATTCTGTTTCAGCTGATTCCTTAGTCTTTCCTGTAAAATAAAAAATTAAAAAATTATGGTCTAATAGTATGACACTCGCCTTTATAGCAAAAGGCTGCATGCTGCTTATATATTACGTGTATGGCGCTGCTTTGTCATGTGAATTTGTGGGCTCCATCGAATCTGATATTCATATATTTTCAATAACATATTTCAGAATACAATACAATATGTATCAAAGTACTGTGAAGAAATAACAGATACTGTCACTTTAAATTAAAATTCCTTGAGATATTAAATTGTATTGTGTTAGTTCCAATTTAGAGTGTATATTGTGATAAGAAGATAATGGAAAGCTTAAAAAAAAGTTGTGGAATTTCTTAATATGGTGGGTTAATCCAGTGGATTAAAATTGACATTGCAATGCAAGCTCTAAAATGTTAACTTGGATTACTTGATGTTAAAGGGTTTCCTGCCAAGGCAACAGCTCAAAACAAAACATTTCCTAAAAGCCTCCATAAGTTTATGTAGCACATGATATTGTAAATAAAAACTCTGAAGCCAATCTCCAAAATGATTAGTTGCACATCAAATAAAATACAGTGTGAACATCCCTAAAGTGACCACCCTTTTGCAGAGAAAGTGGTTACCTGCGAGAGGTGGTTGCTTAAGAGTGGTGTCAAATGCAGTGATTTTGCTGGGAATAAAAATGTTCTTTTGGCAAATAGTTGCTTTAGAGAGTTGTTTGCTTAAGGGAGGTTGTTGCAGAGAGAGGTTCAACAGCAATTGATTTTAAAAATGTTTCATTTGCTCTGGGATTACTATATATAGCTAGCTTGGTGGTTATTGTTTGTTTTTTCTTTCTCTTTACTTTGCTTTTTTTCGTTGCCCTCTTACCTACAGTATTGTTGAGTGCATAGAGACCTTGTTTATTAGCGCTATATATAAATCCATCTATCTATTACTATTATTATTGTAATCATACGAGGGAGAAGATAATTGACGTTTGAAGAAAGACACATTCTTAATATTGGTTTAGAGCTGCTCATGTTATTGTAAAAAATTTAAATAAAAAAGTATTTCAATGTTTCCTCAGGGCATTATCGTTTTTATCCACCAAATCAATGACAGCACTTGTGCTTTGCAAAAGGCGCATTATAAACGCACAATAGGGCCTATTATAACAGTAAACGAAGTGATGATTTATTGTGACTGGTTAAGATTCTAATTATAATTTAGACAAATTTGAAATTTCATTCAAGATTTCATTTGTTGATTAAATAACCATCACAGTTGCTACCGTAAAAACAAGTATGACCAACAGATATTGAACATACATGATCTAAATTATGAACAATAGAATAGAATAGATTTCAGTTCATACCTTTAAGTGCATTCCAGGCATCCCACTTGGCTTTACCTGTGAGATCTAACATTCCAGGACGGGCTGAAAAAAAAAAAAGACATAAGAGAGATTTTAAGACTTGGTGGCCAAGCTGGTTATCATCCAACAACTCGCTGGTTTGGGTATAATTCTAGCAGATGCAAGCATTATATTTATGGCTACAAACCAATCTTCCGTATGTTAAATCTGGTTCATAAGTCCATATCTTTGACCTACTGTAGGATTGATTAAACACTTGAAATTTTAGGTATACATGGAAACCGTTTCATCATTCATGTAGAAGTGATATTAATGTTATATATAATTGAAAAACATTAAAGACTCATCTGTTTACTCTGTGATTAGATGTGATGCAGAGCAGTTTTATTCACATCTGATACTAGAGGAGACTGCAATGTTAGTATTGACAAAGCCATTGACTGATTGATGCCTCGACTGAACGCTTGCAACAAACACTTTAATGAAATTATCAATAGACTTCTCACACATATAAAATATTATGACAAACCTATCCATCATTATTTCAATGGGTAAATTTGATTTACTGTTTAGCATAGACATAGATATTGACCAAGGTGGACTCACCTGTGTTCACATCACCAATAGTGACTTGTTTGTATAGACCATATACATCCAACCTCTCTTGATCTGTTGGTTGTTTTGGCAGTTGCTTCACCTCTTCTGCTGCTTTCAAAAATGTGTCCTACAACATAGTAATCACACATCATTCATACTCATGAAATCATACAAAATAATTTGAATTTATATATTTTAAGTAAATTTTAAAGTACTGTATGTACAGTATGTAATGAAAAAAAAAAATTGTAACATGCTGAATTTGTCATTTTTAATTGAAGGTATCAACTTCAAATCAGTTTCTTTTGATTTACAGTGCATTAAAAGCAGTCCTTCTTAAAATTGAAATTATAGGCCTACAGTATATTTAAACTGGTAGACTGTTTCGATTGAGTCGATAAACGTCATTGAAAATATGAGTGATACTACTACTACTACTTGTCAAGGTCTACTTGTCAGTCTACTGTACAATCTTTGAGCAAGTTTTAATGTATTGTACTACCATGTACATAAATTTGTATGATTGTAGAAGACAAAAAATTCAAACACATCGTGACAGTAGGTCATCTTGGAAATGGCCGGCACCTTTATTCTCACCCATATTCTCATAGGTGTAATAGAAAGCATGCTAACAATTGAGGAATACTTTCCCCAAAACAGCTAAACAAACAAAATTTTTTTAAAATTCATTAAACATTATTTTCAAAACAAATTTAATGACAAGAAAGATGACGTTTCGGGTCCATCATCATCGTCATTCTCAAGATGGACCCGAAACGTTGATCTTTCTTGTCATTATATTTTGTTTTGAAATTATATAGTAAGCATCTCTTAATTCGTAATTTAAACATTATTTGCAAAAAATATCAACAGACTAACATATATTGTACAACAAAAACTAGTCGGCCACTATCAGTAAGTAGGTTAGGAAAGCTCTTTCTCTGCTTCTAACAGAAAGGTTAATGGTGTAAACATATCATACACAAATTGGGTTATGACCAACTGTAGCCACTGCCTATTATTTTTTTGACTAACCAAAATCCAGAGATTGAGAACATGGCTCTAGGTTAAGTGCATAAGTTCCTATGCAGCCATTGGCACAATAATGCACTTGTGCCGGGTGCTTGTAAAGGTACTGTAGGCCTACATAGGATAGTCATTAAATCCATGAACGTATTTTAAGTTATAGCACCTATAGACAGTGGTGGCACCAGCGGACAGGTTAAGCCCCCTCCCGTCGGACAGAGGTCAGACCATAAATAATATAAAAATAGGCCCCTAAGCCAACATATCGTCACCGTTTTCATGACGAAAACAACGTTTTCAGAAAAACACATTTGAAGTGGACTACTTAGCTATGTGTTAACCATTGTAGTCACGGGCAAAAACAGGCCTACAATCTCGGCTTATCCTGCTTTAATCGTTGTGTTTTTACGAACAATTCCACATTTGATGCATGTGTATAGACCTATCCCAAGTTATGCTACAAGAAGGGTACTGGTATGCCTAGGTAAGCTAGGGAAATATAGCCAAGCTAGGCCTTACCTAGCGATCACAACGATTGCAACGCAACACGAGAGTCTTTTAATAACCCAATGAAAGTTTGTGTCTGTTCGTGAAAACGAAAAATCCATTTTTCTTGGTTTGTGTGCAACGGCTAATTAGCTTAATTAGTTAATTAGTGTAGTTTCACTCTTAAAAATGAAAAGGTAAAGTTCGATGTACATAATCAAAATGTCAAAGAAAAAAAAATTGAAAAAATATGATTTTTGAATTGACTATATGTCTGTCACAGTCTGAGAATGCAATTTCCGGCCATCCAGAGGTTGCTATCTTAAAAAAATCTCATTTGGAAAAGGGGAACCCCTTCTCAAAACCTTCCCACAGCTTGGGCCTAAAAGCTCAAGTCACCTGTTTTGGACAGCTTAGCCCCCCCCCCCCCCAGAAAATATGAGCCACCACTGCCTACAGATGCATGGAAATGGCACCCTAAAACTACAAAAATGATTTTTTTATAGTAGTGGCCTGTGGAAAAAATGATTGGCTTCTCCTTACTGGTGAAGGTTTCACAGGCATTTCTTTTTTTCATTTGATTTGCATGGATCCCAAGTTGGCAGAAATCCCTTCCGGGAGATCTGGTTAAGTGAGCTTAATTTTAATTAATTCAAAAGTGAGCATTTAATTTTATTTTCACTGTGCATGGTGATTACCCATTGGCACTGAATTCTGTGAGACAATTGATGCAAATTTCAAGAATTTGCAGGAGATGGGGGATTTTCCGGGATATTCTTGCTTGCAGGAGTGCGGGTGACCGTTCCAATATCCGGGAGACTCCTGTGACTTCCAGGTGACTTAAGACCACTGGTATAGCCTGCTAGAGTATTTATGTATATATATATATATATATTTCTATGGATATAAATTCCGAAATAATGAGAAAAATGAATGAAAATGTACCCATTCCAGGACTTTCCTTTAAAGAGAGAGGAAAATATATATTTTGAAAATTCTTAATTCAGGTGGAATGTTAGAGACATTCTAATGTTTAAAATTTTGTGTTGCATTTTCGTACATTCCCTAGATAAGAGTCCAATACAATATTATCATTTGGAGGTACGTCACCCAAGTGCAGTATCATCAGAATACATTCAATAATCCATTGAAGCTAGACTATTTTGGGCGGTGGATGGAGAGGTAAAACATGTTAGTGTATTGCTTTAATATTTATTCAATAAATGTGCTCATAAAACATTATGAATACGATACAATAGGCCTTTTTCACGAATCGGTAGACATCTTGAAGTGATGACAAACGTTGCGAATCAGCGGTGCATAACCAACAGAAATAAGATAAGCTTTTGGGCGGATTTTTTGACATCATGTTATTTAAAAAATTACTTTCTTATAACGGGGCGTCGTATCCAAAAAATGTTTCCAGGAAAATGTTCTTAAAAGACCAGTCTACAGCACTATATGATTGAAAAAAAATTGAAAAATTTTTTTTACCTCTGAAATCAAGATTGAAAAAGAAAAGCCTATCTTAGTAGTGTATTAAAATAGGCCAATGCATTCGTGAAAAAGGCGTATACATACTGTCATGGTGATGGTATTAAAATACCCGAACAACACCTCAATTAGTTCTAGCATCATCCCTTACGAACAACGAAATAATGTCTAAGCCTGCCGTTAGGTAGACCAGGGAGTTTAAATAACAACTCCCTGGGTAGACGAGCATCAGGGACGTGCAAACTGAATGAAAAGGATCATTCAAGCTCAACTCACTCAAGAAACAAGCCTCCTCGAGCCTACTACTACTAGGGCCTAGAGGCTAGGCCTAGCCTAGCATTATTTTAATTTAATAATTTAATTAGTTGCTCGGCACGTACATCCAAACCTACAGCAGTAGTAGTATTATAATATTAGGAGTTAACATACAAATATCTTTGTAATGAAATTATATATTTTACTTACAGACATTTTGCCGCTTTACTCTGTCGGTTGCAGGTTTATTAAGTAAACGGTTCGTACCCCAATGATGACCGATGAAACGAAAAGCGTGTACAATGGTACAATGTGCACATAAGTCCCATCCAGGGCTAGGGGTCATCAGTTTAGGTCATAGGTTATCAAAAGTTGGGGCGTGGCATGAACTATAAGGCTCCTTATTCACAGTTCAACGAGACAGTTCGAACTTCAAGTTTATATATTTTATTTTATTCTATTTTATTTCAAATCATCCAAAAGCGAAAAACCAATTGCAGGATGCCTTAAATACATTGTAATAAACACTAGAAATACTGTTCAAGAAAAGGATTAATTTAATTAATACAATTAGGCCTATTTTAATTTTAATAAGATATTGCATATAATTAAGAATACATTACAAAAATAATACTGGCAGAACACATAATCCACAGGGGCGTCGGAAGCTATTTTTTATTAGTCCGGCCAAATATACATATCATCATTGCATTAACATTACATTAAATTAACTTCTTTTCAAAAGTTTTGTCTTTGTCTATAGCTAAAAAAAAAAAAATGGGATTTCATAAATATTAACGAACGTACAAGTAATAGTAGTTAAACATTGATTTAACAGTAGAAATGATTTAATGATGTTTTACACTGGCCGATGTATTACCCAACAGCCTGCTCAGTAGGCCTACAGGGGCGGATTTAGGGGGGGGGCGGCCCGGCCCCGGCCCCCACTTTTGGGAGGCAAAAAAAGAAAAAAAAAAGAAAAAAAAGAGAGAAAAAGGAAAAAATGATGGCCAAGAATGCCTCAAATGTTATGTTCGGGCGTCTAGAACACAAAAATTTCGCGGGGGCATGCCCCCGGACCCCCTACGACAGTGTT